TTTTGTAAATAGAATAGATCTGTTTCTTCCTGTGTATAATACTATTACTGTACTAGAACTTTCTTTTCCACTTTTGTCAAATATTAAATACCTATTTCATTTTAAGTTCCAAAAACGAATATATTGATTTAACACACAGAAAACAGACTTAGTCAATACAGTTCTGTCCTTATACATATAAATAAAAGAGCTTTCGTGTTGTTGATCTTAAAAACTAAAACTGATATTCATAGTCGGTTCTTATATTTATAAGACCGTCTTAAGTACAATCTTAAGACATCAAGATCACTCTAAGAGTACCATATTAGCATTTTAAAACATTACTTTAAGACAATTTTGAAATAAGAACAGACTATGAATACTTTTAAACTCGACTGTACTTTTTGTGGGTTTAAATAATATAATTTTTCATTTTATTTATAAAATAATATATTTGAATTACTATTTTATACATCTTTTAAGAGATAATAAATCTAAAATAAATTTAAGAAATACATAGTTTATTTTATTTTTTATTAATAAATTGTTAATTAATGTCTATTTTTACAAATAAGATTTTTTAAAAGATTTTCCTTGTACAATTTTTTTTTGATTCACTGTATATTATATATTTTTTTTATTAATATGTTATTAATATCAATGTGGGCTTTTATTGTACTTTCAGGTATCTTTATGCCTAGCAGGTTTGGCAGCTCAAGTTTTAGGTGTTCGATTAACAAGAACAGATCAAGATTTTCATAAACCCATCATCATCGCTGAAATTGGTGACACAGTAGATGTAAATTCAATACACAAAGTCGTAAAAAGATTTCCTACTAAAAAACAATTCCCAATTGCGTTCCATCCCCATTTTCCCTCGAAATCTACGGTGTGTGTATTGCAATGATAATGATCAGACATTTTTGAATAATGTTATATAAATTTTATTTATTTGAGTATGTGTTCGTAATAACAAACAAAATACATAATGTCAAGAATGTATTTTTTACGATTGTGTGAATGTATCAAATTTGTATATTACAATTAAATAATACATTGCATAGCAGAAAATATAAAAATTATATTTATGTAATACGCACATATTAGGTGTGGGAAAAAGTTCGTGGTGTTTTTCCCGTTAGATGGCATTAAAAAACACCACGAACTTTTCCCACACCTAATAGTATGGTGGACAACGCGCGAGTCTACCATACTTAAAAGTTGTTTAATCTCCGGCAAATCCAAAAAATTTTCATGCGTTCCTAACTCAATGGTCTTTCAAATCAAGAGTATCTATTGTATGAGTATCAAGAAAATCTCTTTTTTAAACTGCCCTTTGGGGCATTAAATTGTAGGTTCCATAAACCTGTGTATGTACCTGCGTGCGCGTCATGGGCATAGATACGAAATGTAACCCTACTGAAAAGAATCACGTCACAAAGTTATATAACAAAATCGTGTAATTGAGACAAATAAATGACGTAACTGATTTCAAATCAGATTTTTTTTAAATCACGTAATTTGAAAAATCATATGATATTAGAAATAATTTCATTCATTCTGTGAGTTATCAAATATTAATTGAATAATAGAAATAGAAGAAAAAGAATATATCATCATTTGATTTTCCAAATTATGTAATTTAAAAAATCACATATTGATTTGAAATAATCGGATATGTGATTTATTTTAATTAGATAATTTCGTTATGTAACTGTACAATGTGATTTTTTTTCAGTAAGGAGGCCCCATTTCGACTTTGGGATGTTTCGTCATCGAATGAGTGAATAAATATTTATATAGTGGGGCCAACAGATAAACATCATCACAAAATTTGTCTACTATAGATTGAAAACATATTTTATTAATCACATCTCATTAATTGTAATAATAGTTACACGCGCAATGTATTATTTTTATATCAACATTAAAAATACTCTTATAGTAGTAATTAGAAAATAATAATAACAAAGAGTATAA